TGACCCTCCTGAAGCATTTTTTCTTTGAAGCAGATTTCCTTTTTGTAATTCCCCCACTACAGTCTAAATACATCTTTTTTTTTTTTTAATTTTTCCCCCCTCTCCTTTCCTCCCCCCTTTTTCCCTGAAGAGGAGAGGAACTCTGCTGCCAGGGCGTCTGGCAGCTGCCGAGACACACGAGCGAAATAGCTGCCTTGCATGGGTTTGGTTTGAAGTAGTTTTTACTTGTTGTCGAGCTGAAATGGAGCTCCCCAGGGACAGCGGGAGGCTGCGAGGGACGTGGGACTGGTGCTGGCCTCTGCCTGGGACCCCCGGGGAGCAGGCACCCCCTCCTCTCTTGGGACACCGGAGTTTGCATGCGAGTGACACTTACGGAGGGGGTCCCTTCCTCGCTGTCCCCTGGGGCTGCCCCACCAGGCAGAGTGGGTTGTTACCCGAGTGTTTTCGCCCCCCTCTCCCTTAACCCCACTCAACCGGGTGTGGGGCAGACACCCCACACAGCTTGTTTTTGGGCAGGGGGGGTGAGCAAGGGCTGTTCCTGCTCGGCCGCAACCTCCGCCCCGCATGCGCCGTGCTCGCTGGTGAGCAGGGCTGGGGGACTGGGGCTCCTGGGGAGGCATCTGGTCCCTTCCCCACCCCTGCGAGGGGGAGCTGGGCCATCACACCCTCCCCTCCACCGCCTGGGATGGGGTTTTGCCCCCGGGGCTGTTTGCATGACACAGTGTAACCCTAGAGACTGGGATCGTTTTTAACCCCTCTGTTCTTTTTCTCCCGGCGGCTGGGAGTGTCCGGCTGCGCCACGGCCGCTTGCAATACACGCTCTTCTGCTTTCAACCTGGTGTCTTTGCTTCGTTTGCAGCAGTGGTGGGACACGGGGGAGGCTGGCCTGGGCTCTGGCTGGTGCAGGATCCCCTGTCCAAGTGCCCCTGAGCTGAGGCTGGCCACCTCTCTGCTGTATATCTGCTGCTCCAAACGCCCTGTCCCAGCCATGTGGTCACTGCCAGCTGCCTTTGTCCCAGCAGAAGCCATCCTGCCCTTGCCCACTGACCCTCACATCAGCCTGGGTATGAGAACCCAGCAGGGGCAGGCTGATGGCAGGACTGCAGGGAGCCCTTGGGCTCCCTGTGTGACACTCACAGGTCCTGGGTGTCTTGCTGTGTACTGGCTCCTTATCCCCTCTTCACCAGGTGATGGGGGGAGGTCCCTTGGAGGCCACCATCCCTGTCGGCCACCAGTCAATAATTAATTTTAATCTCTTACTTGTGTTGCTAAAATAAACATTGTAGGAGTGATGGTTTCACCTGGGCTGCCTCTTGGGCAGCCTCGGGCTGGAGCTGGTGGTGGCCCTGGTGAGCTGCCCTGCATAGCCTTGTGCCAGAGCTGTGTGGCTCCGTCCTGCCCCGCTGAAGTGGACTGGTCCAAATTTGGGGCATTTGGAGCAAATTGGGGTCATGGGCCTCATGTCCTGCCTGAGCACACTGAGGACTGTGGGGATAGTCCTCAAGGCAGGGGCTGCATGGCATAGAGCCCACCCAGGGGAGACACGGAAAAGGGATCTGGCCTCACAAGGAGGCACCTGCCCATGGAACAGGTGAAGCTCTGGAGACCTGGGTGATGTGAAGAAGAACCTGCTTGTGACTGTCCCCTGGCCACTAGGAGCCACAGGATTGGAAAATCTGGAGCCTGAACACAGATTGGAATGGCTGGCTGGTCAGAGGGAGCTCCTAGGGATGTGGCACAGTGGAAAAGTGTCAGGCTCTGGTCGCTGAGTCCTCAAGGATGCCCCATGTGCCTTCAAGCCCAGGAACCATGCAGGAGAGACAACAAAGCAAAATCTTTATGGCCTGCAGTGTTAATCAGCTGTAATGAGCAGTGGCTGTGGCAGTGTGGCACCCACTCCACCACCCCCTGAGGCCAGGCAGCACAGCCCTGGTGTGCCTGTCCCCTCCCAAGTGCCATTTCACATCCCCTGGCCAGCTCAGGTGCCTGCTGTCCTCTTGCCACCAGCCCCCTGAGAGGCTGGTCTTCGTGTGGCAGTACCTGCAATGCAGAAGGACAAACTGCCTTGCACAGGGTGTGACACCCCCAGGAGCCCCCCAGGAGTGCTCAGCAGCAGGTTGAGCCCACATGGTGAGGCCAGTGGCCTCGGGGGGCACCAAGGACAGACACTCACATGAGTAGGGGGACACATAACGGCTGCTGTACTTGGAAACACGATGCGTCTTCTCTGTGGTGTGCTGAGAGCAGGGCTGGGGGGTCTTGGATGCTTTGGGGGGAGAAGCAGGGACACTGTCAGCTCGGCTGCTGGTGGCTTGTCCTCAGACAATGCCAGCTCAAGTGGCTGCACAGCCTGGAGCTCTCACAGTGCTCCTCTACCTGGCAAGTCCTTGCCCACGGTGGTGGCCTTGCTGGCAGATGGGGAGCTCAGCCTGCCCTTGTAGATGATGCCGTCGATGCCCAAAATATCCACTTCTCTCTAAAGGGAAGAGCAGCCAGTGCCATTGGAGGTGCCCTGAGGCTGCAGCAGTCCCCTCACTCCAGCCCAGGTGGGCTGGGTGGGTTTGCAGAGCACAGGGACACTTGGGGATGGGGACTCACGTTCTTGCTGGCAAAGTCTGCAGGGTTCCCACAGGGACAGATGGTCATGAGGGAGCTGGACCTGGACAGTGGCCCCGCAGGACTTGCAGGGCCCCGGCTGGCCCTGCTGCTCCCTTTGCTCTCCCTGGGCAGGGAGCACCAACATTACTCCTCCTGTCGAGGGAGAGGGACCCCAAAGGTGGGGAGAGGGACAGTGGCAGTGCTTGGGAACCTCACCTCCCTGGCAGCCGCTGTGCCGGGCAGTTGGAGGCACTGGCACAGGCTGAATGGGTCTGGAGGAGCTGCCTGTTCCTTCGGACTGTCACCAAGGGCCTAGAGATGGGAACATGGAGGCAAATTCAAGCAGCAGTCTCTAGTGGAAGTGGGGAGCTGCCCTGGGGGGGCTGCATGCTGCTTACAGTGTCGGGGCTGAGGTCAGGGGTCTGTCGCAGGAGATGCACTTGGCTGGATCAAAGAGCTGCCTGCAGCACAGGGGTGGCTGCTCAGCACCCTGCCAGCACCCCAGGGACCAGGCCAGGTCCCATGGGTGGCCAGCACTCCATGGGCAGGGTGGAACAAACAGAGTCTGGATGGGACAGACAGGGCAGGATGGGACAGCGTGGGAGGGGATGGGGCAGGGCAAGAAGTGACAGGGTGGGATGGGATGGGGGAGGATGAGATGGGATTGGATCCAGCAGCCCCACCTCTTGAAGCCGGTGGCATAGGTGGCATTGCAGCAGGATCCCTGGCAGTGGCAGTGCTGGGTGAGCTTCCACAGCTGCTCCAGCTGGGCCTGTAGGGGAGCCAGCACTGCACAGTCCAGCTGCAGGGAGGCAGGGGGTCTCACTGGGACACCAGCCCCATTTCAAGGGATGCTTTTGCCTCTGAGGGATGTTGGTGCCACCCTGGGACACATGGCCAGCCATGATGCAAGGACCATCATTTCTTGGCCTTGGCAGATGTAGGGCTCACCCTCACCACACAGGGAGGTGCTCTCTGGACTGATGCATCTCTCCATCCCCACCATCCTCCCCAGGTGACACTGCTACCTTGGAGTCTATCTTGCTGAAGAGGTTCTCCAAGTCTTTCTGCCTATCCTGGTCTTGCAGAGACATCCTCTGCAGCAGGTCCTGCATCACCTCATTCAGCTGGCTCATGGCATGTTGCAGTTCTTCTTGGTTTGCTTTGGTCTCCAGCTCAGCCTTCCCTGCTTTCTGCAAGGGGGCAAACAGCAGCTGTCCCCTGCAGACCCACAGCCCTGCCACCATCCCCTCGTGCCTTTGCTTGCTCACAACACCCAAGCCCTGCTCCAGCAGCACCTTGCTCACAGCTGGCTGCTCCACTATTCCATGCAGGCTCCACACCAGCTGTGTGCCCCCAGTCCTGTGCCCTCCCCTGGGCCTCCCTTGGAGCCACTCACTGTTTGTTCCCAGCTCCACCAGTGTGGCATGGACACAAAACCCTGGCACACTGAGCTACTTCAGAGTGGCTGTACCCAGCCTGGCTCAGACACCAACGAGGCATGAGCCTGGAGCTGTGCTCACCTGGGTGTCCTTGGTGTCACCCCACAGCCTCTCTGCAGCTCCCTGCAGCCTGGTGCACTGCTCCTGCAGCTGCCTCACCTGCTCCAGCACCTCTCTGCTGAAATCCAGGCCCTGGGGAGGACAAACGTGGCTCTAGGTGAGAAACAGGGTGGCTGCATGATCCGGGGTAAGGCAGGTAAGGGTAAGGCCTGGTCACTGGGTGACCCCAGTGAGTGGATAGCAAGGACATCCCCAGAGATGCCCCACTGCATCCCCAGCAAGCTGGGTATGGGGCTACAGCCCCCAGACCCTTGGGCAGCCCCTCTGGGGTCTGTGCAGCTGAGCACCTTCTCTCCTTCATCCTTCATCTGCCTCGTCTTGCTCGGCACCTTCTCCAGTCGGGCAGCTGTGTCCTCGAAGGTCCCCAGATGAGCTGAAAACAGACACCAGAGATTTGCTCTGTGCAATGCCAGCTCCTGCAGCCCCCCAGCTCAGTGCCATCCCCAACCCAGGTGGCTTTATGGCTGTGGAGACCCCCCAGTACTGTTGGCAGCCCCAAGACACCCTGGGGTGCCAAAAAGGGCAGTGACCACGTCCCTGCCAGCTATGCCAGCGTGGCTGGGAGCCAGGCAGAGGAACAAAGGGGCTGCAAAGGCTCTGGTGGCACAACCCAGCCTGGTGGCCCTGACATGGTGGGGATGTCAGTGCTCACCATCCTGGCTCTCCTGGTGGCTGACATGGGTCCCCACAGCTTCATACTGCTCCAGCAGCCAGCTCAGCTTGCACGGGGCCTCATGGGCTGTCTCCTGCGAAGGCTCAGGGCTGGGATCTTGGCTGGAAAGCTTCTGAAATGTAACATCCCCCAAGGATTTGGGAAGAGAGAAGATTCCTGTGCAGTCCTGGTGCCAAGGGGCACTGCCAGCCTGCAGGGAGGGAGCCCAGGAGCACTCACCTCAGCAGCAGGCTCCTCACTGACAGAGCTCCGGCGCGGAGCGGCAGTGTTGCAGGGGAGGGAGCTCAGCTCCTGCTGCACCTCTGCCTGCAACCAGGAGAGAAATCAGCCCTTCTCCTCCAAGACTGGAGAGCCTGGGCAGCCCCCAGCATGAGGAGGGCAATGCCAAACCCTGCCACCACCCCCAGCACTGTCCCCAACCCCGCAGGTCCCCTGGGGTGTCAAAATCTAGCGGGTTAAATCAGCTCCTGGGCTTGTGCTGCCATGTCCCAGGGTGATGATTCTCCTGGTATTGCAGGAGGGACAAGAGAAGTGAAGATGGCTGGTGGAAGCCACCAGGACCTAGGGTGCCCAGGGATGGATGTGCCTGCTCCAGTGGCTGGGGAGGTAACATGGACCCTTGCCAGAAGAGTCTTGAGGAGCCAGATGCTTGTCCAGGCGGGTGATGACAGCCAGGGCAGCCCTTGGGAGGCCCGAGTGTTTTTTCCATAAGGATTTGCCAAAGCCTGATCCTGGACAGCCAGGGGACAGTTCCAGGAGCTGGGTGCTCAGTGCCCTTGTGCACTGTGCTGCAGTGCTCCCCCTGCCAGGACTCTCCCTGCTCACCAGCTGGTCCAGGATGCTCTGCAGGAGGTGGCTGTGCTCATCCTGCTGCACCGAGTGCTCCTGCAGCTCCTCCAGACCATCCTGTTAGACAGAAGCATCAGGAGCTTCAGCACCCTCAGGGGTTGGAATGGCAGGGAGCAGCACGGACAGGCAGGGAGCTGCAGCACCCAGCCCAGGCCAGGGGTCTGTGGCTGGGGACAGTGTCTACCTGAAACCCCTGCACTTCAGGGCAGATCCCACAACTCCCAGCTTCACCTCAGGGCTTGGGACCT